GGACTGGAGACCTGTCCAGTTTGTCTCCATGTGTCCCTGTGATGGACTGGAGACCTGTCTAGTTTGTCTCCATGTGTCCCTGTGATGGACTGGAGACCTGTCCAGTTTGTCTCCTTGTGTCCCTGTGATGGACTGGAGACCTGTCCAGTTTGTCTCCATGTGTCCCTGTGATGGACTGGAGACCTGTCCAGTTTGTCTCCTTGTGTCCCAGTGATGGACTGGAGACCTGTCCAGTTTGTCTCTATGTGTCCCTGTGATGGACTGGAGACCTGTCCAGGGTGTCCCCTGCCTCTTGCTCAGGGACTGCTGGACATGGACACCAGTGACCTCGCGATTCGAAAAGGAAGAAGCGGGTAAAAGATAATGGATGGATGAATGAAGTTTATATGTCCTGTAGCTTAAATAAACTGCAACAACATATTCCAGGTTAAAGGCTGTTAATCCAAAAACTTATGAATACTTTTGGTTGGAAATGTATAAAACGTATCTGCCGGTAAGTATAATATTTACTGTTCGTTTATTCTTTTGTTATAAACTGTACAGCGGTAGGTGACATTATTTGCGTAACTTGAGCAATAAAATACAACCAGTAACTAATGAAGGGTGTTTTAAAGTATCTTAAATCTGTTTCTGCAGCATATAAACAAAACTAGTTTAGTTTATTAGAAACTCACAACATCCTGGGCTAACAGCGGTTAGCATCAAATGAGCGTTTTGAAAACGTCAAGCAAGCATTGTGACTACACTAACGAAAAAATATACAATACAGTTATGGCAATAACAATGTCCGCTATTTAAATGACAGAAGGTTTATATATTTAACGCAGCAGTTACCGTTTTTTGATCAAATCACCAGCCCTTGTAAGCGCTGCACTCACTTCCGGGTTCTCGGCCGCAAATGTCACGTGACACTTTCAAAGCCCCGCCCACTGAATGTGTCGGTTTCCTCGAGAAGGGGTTCTCTGCAGACCAAAAGTAGGCGTTTCTGGCGAATAGGCGTTTGTCGGCGGCGAACACTGATTGGCTGTGGGTAACCCTCAAAGTCACGAGGATTATTGATGAGGTAACGTTTCTTTGCGATGTTTGACAAAGAAATATGATTTATTGTACTTATAAAGTATGTTATGTTTTCACTTATGCATTTTATTGAAGTACGTTTATTGTAGGTCACGATAGTTTCGACCGTTCTCTCGTTGTTGTTGTAACGCACTGAGGTAAAGTGAACCTCCACAGCTGCTCTCACTGTGCACGTGTACAACAACTGGGTGTTGCTTTTCAAAATAAAAGCTGAAAATAAAAGTTCTTAATACTTGAAAAATAAATATTTAAAAGCTGAGTATAACTGAAAAATATGAAAAACAAATAAATAAAAGTTGTTATTAGCTGAAAAATAAATAAATAAAAGCTGTTAATTATATCTATGTCTTTCTGCCATGTCAGGGACCACTCTCACTTCAGACTGACTCTAGAAGACCCCAAGATGTTGCTCAACAATGTTGACCAACATCTGATGTTGCCTTTCAAAATAAATCGCCTCCAAAGTTTAACATAGTTCATAGTAATAGTCAAAAGTTGCTGACCTTGTTGCAACATGAGTTAACACGAAAATGAGTGTAAATTGTCAATGATTCAATAATGAGTAATAACTTATTCAATAAAAAGTATGTAATTTGTCAATAATAGTCAATAATTCATTCAAGAATAGATTATGGGTGTTTGGTATGGCTCAGTGGCTAAAATGGGTTGGATGTTAGAGAAATTACTTAATTTTCAATTACCTGAATGCACAAATTCCTTCATTTATAGTTAAACTTTAGGAAATCAACTTTTTTTTTCCTTGTGAAAAAAATATCAAAATTAACTTTAAAATCCAATCCAGGATTAAGTAACAACTAGCAACACCCTAACTGTACTATGTTCTGTGTTTCCAACAGATGCTACGATGACTTCTAAAAATGGATGTCCCAATAAACACAATAAAAAAAGTTCAATGATGCATCAAATGTTGTCTGAGTATGTTTTAAGGTAATAACAAATGTGAAATCTGGAAAACAAAGAGAATTCCTGAATCTGTCTTGTGTGCTTTGATGTGTACATAAGTTTATTGGAGGTCCTGAAACAACTTTTCTGAGAACACAAAGATTTTTATTTTACCTTTGGCCAAGATGTCAGTTTGAAATCAGGCTGCTTACTGCAAAACCAAGAGTTTTTTTAAGACAGACAGTCTTCATTTGTATTGTTTTGTCGACTAAGCTAAATGTAATTTCTAAAATATGGATAAATATGATCTCATCATGCAGCATAGGCAACTGGGTACAGGTGTGTGGGCCAAAAGTCTGGGTATGTACTGACTCCTAAATGTGCTTGTTTTCTACTGAAACATGGAGTAGGGTTGACCTTTAAAATGTGAGACAGCTGAGGAAGTGAACCAGTAAACAGAAATACCTGCTCCAGTTGCAGAAATCTGACAGAAACTGACAATCACTCATCTGCAGTGACTGCAGGTTGAACAAGAAAATGTGAAGTTAAAGGAAACATTCTTTGTCCCAAGGCCAGTTTAAGTATCATTAATATTTTTCTTTCTTTATGAATCGATTGTAACTTTGTTCACATTTTTCAACAACCAAAATGGAATTTGTTTTTTAATGTTATGGCTTGGTATTAAAAAAAACTTAACATTTAGCTCCCCCCACTACCCAGTTATGTTGCTCTTATTTTGAAATGTAACCGGAAGTTCTGTGTGAAGAGAGTCGAAAAAAGAAGTTATGGAGACGCCGCGGCAGTATACTGGAGCGATGTCGAACCGAGACGCCGCCAGTGTTGAACCTGAGACGCCGCTAATGTCGAACCGGTTAACACCATAGACATAATATGCCTGTGGTTAACACAATCTGCCAATAACGCCTTGTTTTTAGACATAATGTGTCTGTGGTTACGGCATTTTATCGTTCAGCCTTTTTTTCTATCGTCCAATCAGATGTGGCCGGCCAGACACGCCTATTTTTCTATTGTCCAATCAAATATGGCCAGCCAGACACGCCCATTTTCTATCGTCCAATCAGATGCGGCCGGCCAGACACGCCCATTTTCATATAGTCCAATCAGATATGATCGCCCAGATACGCCCATTTTCCTATAGTCCAATCAGATATGTCCGCCCAGATACGCCTTCCGAATTTGGCTGCAGAGATACCTACTTGGTTTCCTCCCGGAGACAAAATAAATGGCACCAGTGACAGCTGAATTATCTTAATATGAGTTGCACAAGCAAATCTCTAAAAGTAGAAGTATTATGCCTTATGATACTGTTTAAAATCTTTATTTAAATTAATCCAAGCAGCCAGACTTCAGTCTTTTTAATGATTTGTTCATGCTTGGTTTGGTCTGTGTGTGAGAGTTCCTACTTTTATTTATTTATTAACATTTAATCAGGTAAATCCTATTGAGATCACAGATGCATCCATTTTCTTTTACCCATCCATCCATCTATTATCTTTTACTCGCTTCTTCCATTTTGGGTCACGGGGGTCGCCGGTGCCCATGTTCAGCAATCACTGTGCGAGGGGCGGGGTACACCCTGGACAGGTCTCCAGTCCATCACAGGGACACATAGAGACGAACGAGACAAACAACCATTCACTCGCTCACTCACACCTAGAGACAATTTAGAGTCACCAATCAGCCTAACATGCATGTTTTTGGTCTGTGGGAGGAAACCGGAGTACCCGGAGAAAACCCACGCATGCACGGAGAGAACATGCAAACTCCACCCAGAAAGGCACCTGGACCGGGGTTTGAACCAGGGACCTGCTCGCTGAGAGGCAGCAGCTCTACCAGTTGGACCACCGTGCTGCCCTGATCACAGGTCGCTTTTGCAAAAACTTTTGATATTTATCCATTTTAGCACCACATAAGAGTGACTTGAATTGAATTTGAGACTGTCCAAAAATATCAAATTTTGCTTATGGGAAAAAAACAACAACAAATCACCCACCCAAAAAAAATCTGATTAAATGATTTTGGCTGCAGTTTGAGCGCAGCCTAATCCCCTACCCTTTTGGAGACAGCCCAGATTAAGAAGGTTGTCTCAATTTATCAACAAAAACCAACACAACATGACTATAATTCAATACTTAATTTAATTTCTGAAAAATAAAGTAATCAATCAGAGGAGATTAGCTCCTTGGTTCAATTCTGAATTACGTACTTTAAAACAGTCATCTATAAAGCTAGAAAGAAAATGGGGCTCTATTAACGTTGAGGAATCCTACTTATCCTGGAGAGATAGCTGGCTTACAAAAAAGTGCTCCGTAAAGCTAGAACTTTATATTATTCATCTTTAATTGATGAGAATAAAAATAACCCCAGGTTCCTTTTCAGTACCATAGCTAGTCTAATGAAAAATCATATCTCTGTTGATTCATGTCTCCCTGCAACTATAAGCAGTGATGACTTCATGAGATTCTTTATGAATAAAAAATTTTCAATTTGGGAAAAATTCAAACCCACATTCCTATCGCCTCTAGCTCTGTGTCAACTTTAAAAATGTCACTAGAACCTGATTTATGTTTGGACTGTTTTGTCCTGTTGAGCTCTCTGAACTGAAAAATAATAGCTTCTTCCTGTAGTGAACCTAACCTGATGTCAAAACTAACCTAAGGTCAAAACCCTTGACCTTAAGAACCTTGTGGGACAGAAACTGTCATTTCATTGATTTGAATCCAGAAATACAGGTTCACCCATCCTGAGACTTTCTTTCTTGAAAATTCAAGTGAAAGAACACTCTCTTTTTATTATCATTACTATTTTACAAATGTTGATAATCAAAGTGTCTTAGTTCAAACCATTTTAGATGTTGCAGTGAACTAATCAACTTTATTAACTGTGAAACAGTGTAATGATTTTTGATTGCTTATGCAGAGTTAGAATTCATGTTAAGGTCTGTTACAGATTTTTATGCATTTTCTGACTTCTGTCTTCGAATGAGCAAGTGTACGTTTTCAAGGTCAGGAGTCGAAGCAGACATGTGTGGAACAACTGTCTTGTTTACATCCTCTCAGACGTAAACAGAAGGAGTTGGCACCTGTTTCTAAAACTCGCCTAAACAAAACTCTCTATGTCTCTGAGAACATTTCTGATCTGTTCCATAACAATTCTTGCTGTCTTCTAACCTCTTACGTCACAAAACACACCCCGTCTGGTCGGTTCTGACCAATGGGAAGACTCCCAAATGAACCGGGAAAAGAGCTCTTTAAAATGTCGGTACTTCCTGGTCTACACAGTTCTGTGAGAGTTGGGATGAGCTCAGTTCTGCGCGGAGAAGCCCAGTTCTGTGGGGTTCTGTTGGTTGGAGAAGTTCGGCGGCGCGGACAGTTCTGATATGTCCTAGTGCTGTGCAGTTGCTGTGGGAGCCGGGAAGACCCTGACATGACCACAGAGCTCTTCCGAGTTTCATGGGATTATAACAATTTCCACTGAGGTGAGCTTGTGTCGGACAGTCTCGCCATTACTCCGGACGATTCACAGCCATCCTACGGAGACGCTGAAAGGGTGCGTTAAACGGAATCTCGCCTGAGACATCTCCAGGTAAAAGAGTCGATTTCACCACCTAAGTGTACTGTAAGGAAGAAGCTGAAGAAAGCCCGGAGAGTGCCGTTCTGTTCAACACTCTCCCTCAAACACCATCTTTCACCCCCTTGAAACTTCCTTCCCATCTTTAAACTCCTCTCTCAAGTAGATATTCTTCCAGATATTTAGAAATGTCTGTGTAAAGTGCTCATCCACCGCAGTGTGGATTAAGATCATAATTGTACAGATTTCATAAATGTCTGTGGTGAAGCAACGGAAAAATCATGGCCGTATGATTTTTCCTGATTGATTGCTTTTGTTGTTATTT